GTAGAAGCTTTTATCTTCAGGAAAGATACAGAAAAGCGCACTGCCATTGGGCCCAACAACATATCGTTTTTTGTTACTCAAATCATATTTTGTTATTCTCCTACAGGAAGCCTTTTGTTCTGAAGGACTCCTTCGACTAGATAAACTGTGTTGTCAGGGTATCTTTGCCTTCTCTTTCATTATTACTGCAAAAATCGAAACAGCATTTGCACTGTTGATTAGTGAATCTTACTGTAAAACACTCTTGAATCAAACTTGCATTCATTTGTCCCATGTCTTAAGCTCAATTATACCTCGAGCATTGCTTATTTGCAAGACAAACGTCTTACTGAGTACAAACTTTGCGAATTTAGATGATGCCGACAACTTTTCTGGACGAGGGCAACCTGCTTTATTTACTTGGAGGGACTATCTTCGTAGTTTCCATAGTCGTTATAACATTGTTCATCAAGACGAAGGCCAATCGTTTGAACTGGTACGTGTTTACTTTCTACAAACTAGAACATATCATCGATATTCCGTTAAGGTTTGAGCAAAATCTGGTTGAGATGTCTATGGAAGCTCATCACTATCGTTGTAAATCTTTTAATAGGGCTGATACTGAGGACGATACGAAAAGCAGCGATCAGTAAGCTGATTACTACAGTTGACCTTAATTTGTTAAACCTCAAAATCCAACTTTGAGTCTTTTGACACGCAATCCCTTCAGTTTCCGTGAGCGCATACAACGCAACCAGCACGACATCCATCCGGTAACGGATCCTCTTCCTTTAGTTGGCCATCCGACTGGTGATGTTAGCGGAAAATTTGTAATTCCCCGATTTTCACGTATAAGTCAGAGTATGTTCGTCAATCCACAACAAAGTCAGTTCGACCGGGGATTGTACCAGTGCACGGTGAGGTCACACGTGATAAAATGCAATAGACATTAGCAGAAGAAGGGTTCCTTCTGTGTGCCATTTGCATCTGAGTGAATTTAAGCCACCTGATGAGTCAGCGTGCACTGATGTAATGGGAGCGTCTGGATCGATCCAGCTCAGTTTGTCTTTGGATGCTAATCTTGGTCTACTTACCGTTTCATTGAAACAAGCATATGATTTACCAAGCAAACGACAGGTGAAATTTATTGTCGCAGTTATCGCATATGTCAATTAGCTTTCTCAGGATGACAATCCCAATCCATACTTTCGCGTAGCGTTAGATAACCCAGATGGGGCGAAGACACAACAACAGACAAAAACGTTTCGTGGGACAACTTCACCGGAGATAGGAGAGAACTTTTATTTCCAGGTTAGTATTATAAGAGTAGTTTATT